TGGGTCGACGCTAGGCATTAGTAGGTTGTCGAGTAGAGGGACATTTTGTTTTCCGACGAATCAAGATTCGAATTGAGCACCAGTGATGCGCGAATTTTAGTTCGTCGGAGCCGTGGTGATCGTCTACTCGAGCAGTGTGTGCAAGAACGCCCTATCCACCGACAACCGAGCATTATGGTATGGTCTGTTATAGGGTCTGCTATACATGCACGACAACGTACGACAACACATCGGGCGTGTTGTACAGACTTTTGTGGAAGAGCACCGTATACCAATGCTTCCATGACTAGCTCGGTTTCCGCATCTAAATCCAATAAAACATGTTTGGGAAATGACTGGTCGGAGACTTCTACATTATCCGGCTTCCTCGGCTAACGTTGAGGAGCTATGGAGGCGAGTTGAGGTGGCATGGTTGGCCATCCCTCTTGCTACAATACAGCGACTTATAGACTCCATGCCACGTCGTGTAGCGATAGTACGCGAAGCTCACGGGGGATACTCTCGCTATTGATGTTTCTCCTCCCAGCAGAGTTGTGCTGCTCTCCATGTGAGAGTAAGTTACACTACTTTAGTACTACTTCCATACCAAATTTTATTGCGCTAGACACACGCGTTCAGATTATACAGGGTGTGCTCGTGAATTATTTCCAACAGTGTATCAATACGATATCGTTAGTTTAGAGGATTCTAGCACCTCGCCCGCAAGCGACCATGGCGAAGTGAGCATAAACGCTTTCTCATTTCAGTGTTACACATTTGGTTCAGTTTTCATGATATCACATAAACGATATCATCTAATACTGCCGAGGTCGCTTGCGGGCGATGCACTAGTGCTTAGTATTACCTTCATATTAATATAATAGAATATTCAGCGCCTCGCCCGCAAGCGACCTCGGCGAAGTGAGAATTTCGTATACATAACTTTAAAGGTAACTTAATAAAACTCAACTCATTAAAAAGTGTAATATTTTTATGCCATCACATAATTGATCCTTTAAGAGGNAGATTCTGGTGGGCCTCTTTTCATTCAAGTTTACACTGAATTAATGCAAATTGGATTGGTTTCTTTTGGTGGTGATTGCAATAACACATCACCTGAGGTTCATACAAGAATTTTTTATTTTAAGGATTGGATATCAGATGCTATGACATTGTTAGATGTAGATTAATAAAAAAAATTCTCAATCATTTATTTTTTTTATTCATTTCAAAATTCAAAATGTTAATCAGAAAATCCTAGGAACTCAGTTTCAACTTTACTTGAATTAGAAAGAATAAACTCAAATAAACATTCTGTACCAGTATAAAAGGACCAGGGATCAGTCGAAGAAGATTTCTCCACCGACCACAACACTTTTCCCATAAGAGGAGAATGAACAAAAATTTATAAACAATGAGGACTGAAGAGGATAAGATTATTTGAGGTAAAGATAAAGAGCTGCTCAAAACAACTGTTAGGAAACTTAACTTGATGATTACCAAACCCAACATGGTGAAATCTAAGCTTATCATTTATGATATACATGTATAGAAGAGAACATGGTTTTTGACAAAGATTTCCAGAAAAAACATCATATAATCTCAAGGGCGATGTTGATGGATATCAGAGGTTGCCAGAAAAAATTGATAAGAATTTCTTAAGGATATCAAAGATTGTCATAGATAGCATAGTATGATGCCCAGAATGATATAAAAGATTATTAGAGTCGGAATTGTGTGCTGGTGAGGACCATGTTATAAATGGTAATGTAAAATGTCAAAAATGATGTTGGGAAATGCCAAAAAAAATACAAAAGGATGTTTGTAATGATGTTAGTTGCTAGGAATGATGTTGAGATATGTCGGAGACCACGCCAAGGATTGTCAGACACAACATTGTATTGCTATTAAGATATTGAGAGTGTTAAGGGTTATTAAAGACGGAATTGTGTGCAAACGAGGATGATTTTGAGAGATGCCAGGAATGATAATTTATGATGAGATGGATAAATAATTTTGAGGAATGTCCGCGATGATGTCAAAGATGGTCAGAAACAACATTGTATTGCTATGAAGATATTAAGAGTGTCTAGATTGATACAAAGATGTTCACAGTGATGTTAAGGATTATTAAAGACGGAATTGTGTACAACCGAGGATGATTTTGAGAGATGCCAGGAATGATAATTTATGATGAGATGGATGAATAATGTTGAGGAATGACCGCGATGATGTCAAAGATGGTCAGAAACAACATTGTATTGCTATGAAGATATTAAGAGTGTCTAGATTAATACAAGGATGTTTACAGTGATGTTAAGGGTTATTAAAAACGGAATTGTATGCAACCGAGGATGATTTTGAGAGATGCCAGGAATGATAATTTATGATGAGATGGATGAATAATGTTGAGGAATGTCCGCGATGATGTCAAAGATGGTCAAAAACAACATTGTATTGCTATGAAGATATTAAGAGTGTCTAGATTAATACAAGGATGTTTACAGTGATGTTAAGGGTTATTAAAAACGGAATTATATGCAACCGAGGATGATTTTGAGTGATTCCAAGAATGATAATTTAGGATGAGATGGATGAATAATGTTGAGGAATGTCCGCGATGATGTCAAAGATGGTCAGAAACAACATTGTGTGATATTCGAGGTGTCTAAATTGATGTAAGGATGTCCTCGATTATACCATATTAAGATGTTCAAAATTATCTTAAAGTTTAATTATTTCCCATTCAATTAAGCTAGAAAAATATCAGTAGCCATGCGTAACCATAGCAACCAATTGTTTCAGATATCAAAAATCATTGTCTTTAATAAAATATCTGAAACAATTGGTTGCCATGGTTACGTACTGCTATTTTTCTAGCTCACTGTATTGCTATGCGGAATGATGTTGAGAAGTGTCTAAATTGATACAAAGATGTCCGCCATTATGTCAAAGGTGATCAGAAACAACATTGTGTGTTATTCGGGGTGCCTAATTGATGTAAGGATGTCCACGATTATACCATATTAAGAGATACTCAAAAACAATATTATCTTTTGCCCGGCACGATGTTGAGAGAGTACCAGAGATGATATTGAGGAATACCAGGAATGTAAGGGATGATGTTGGGATGTGTCAAGTACAAAGATATCCGCCACAATGTCGAGGTTTATCAATGACGGCATTGTATGTTGTCCAGGACGATTTTAAAGTATTAGTGATAATGAGAGATGTCCGAGATGATATTGAGATACATCTAAGACGATATTAGAACCTCAAATTCGCGGACATCTTTCGAGGTTGTCAGAAATGATACAATGTTGTGTGTAAGCATCCAAAACTATGTTAATGAGTGTCAGAGACGATATTGACAGATACCCGCAACGATGTTGCAAGCTGCTAAGGATGATATTATATGTTGTCCGAAATGGTGTTTTGTGTCTAAATTTATGTAGGAATGTTCACCATTATATCATATTAAGAAATGTTCAAAAACGCTATTATATATTGATAATACGATGTTGATGGGTGCCAGAGATGATATTAAGGGTCAATGGCGGTATTAGAACCTCATATTCGAAGACATCTTTCAAGATTATCAGAAACGATACAGTGTTCTGTGTAAGCATACAAAACTATGTTAAGGACGTCCACGATTATATCATATTAAGAAATGTTCAAAAACGCGATTATACAGGGTGTTTCAGGTTTTTGTAGCAGGACTTTATCTGTCGATAGATCTTTTAAAATTAACACAAAAACTTCATATAAACATAGATCGAACGCTTTGTTTTGAAGATAAATTTGGTACACAGGTTTATATGAAGTTTTTGTGTTAAAGTCCTGCTACAAAAACCTGAAACACCTGTATTCTGATAATACGATGTTGATGGGCATCAGAGATGATATTAAGGATCAATGACAGTATTATATGCTGTCAAACACGATTTTGAGGGATACCAGGTATGATAACTTAGGATAATGCCATGAATAATGTTGAGGAATGTCCGCGATGATGTCAAGGGTGGTCAGAAACAACAATTTGTGTTATACGGGGTGTCTAAATTGATGTAATGATACCCGCGATTATACCATATTAAGAGATGTTAAAAAACAAGATTATGTACTGCCCGGTACGATGTTGATAGCTATCAGGGATGATATTGAGGGACACCAAGAATGTAAATGAGGAATGTTAGGACGTGTCAAGAACGATATACGGGGATATCTACGACAATGCCGTGATTTGTCAATAGCGGCATTGTATTTTGACCAGGACGATTTTGAGGAATTGTTGGTCATGAGGGATATCCGAGATCATATTAAGATATATCTAAGACGATATAAGATGTTGTGCAAAAGTATCCGTAACTATGTTAATGGGTGTCAAAGACGATATTGATGCTTGCGATGAAGTTGGAGAGGTTGCTAAAGATGACATTATATGTTGTCTGGGATGATATTGGGTGTCTAAATTGATTCTCACCAACATACATACTGTAATACAGTACAAACTAACTTATCTGCCAGATAACGCTATCTGGAAGTTTATCGGTATATTGTACAACCGGCCCTAAGAGATGTCCAGAAACGAAATTATGTACTGCCGGGATACACGGGAGTTGTCAATAACGGCATGGTATGTTGTTGAACACGATTTTAAGGTATCGTTGGTAATGAAGGATGTCCGAGATTATGTTAAGATATGTCTGAAATGATATTAAGACAATATTAAGATTTTATTATTGCAAACATTTCTCGAGATTGTCAGAAACGATACAATGTTGTGTACAAAAATCCGAAACTATGTTAATGGGTGTCAAAGACGATATTGATGCTTGCGATGAAGTTGGAGAGGTTGCTAAAGATGACATTATATGTTGCCTGGGATGATATTGGGTGTCTAAATTGATTCTCACCAACATACATATCCATACATTGTAATACAGTACAAACTAACTTACCTGCCAGATAATGCTATCTGGAAGTTTATCGGTATATTGTACAACCGGCCCTAAGAGATGTCCAGAAACGAGATTATGTACTGCCGGGATACACGGGAGTTGTCAATAACGGCATGGTATGTTGTTGAAGACGATTTTAAGGTATTGTTGGTAATGAAGGATGTTCGAGATGGTATTAAGATATATCTGAAATGATATTAAGACATATAGGTATGAAGGCTTTCACAGCCGGTGTCAATTAAACTAAAATTAGAACTAAAACTAGAACTAACACCAGAAACTTTCAGGTTTTGCCGTGCGTCTTTTAATAAAAGGTTTGACGAACAGTTTCAGTCAGAAACTGGTTCGAAGTGGTTTCTGAAGAAGGTTGCAACATGGCATCCGAAACGTCAAACCTTTCATTAAAAGTTTGATATTAAGACAATATTAAGATTTCATTTTTGCAAACATTTCTTGAGATTGTCAGAAACGATACAATGTTGTGTACAAAAATTTGAAACTATGTTAATGGGTGTTAGAGACGATGTCGAATGTTGCCAAAGATGTTGAGAGTTTCTAAGAATTTGTTGCAATGTTGGGAGATGAATAGATACATACCAAAAAAAAATTGTTAATCAAAGAAACGAAAGTTTCCAATTTATTAATACAGTCCTCGTTCTCATTATATTTGTAACTCAACTATTGAATGATGAGTTGCTGGTTATCTATATTAGGTGTAAAAGCGATACAATGCTGTTCATAAAGTCTGTTAAGAATTGTAAAACATAGTCTTGAATTTCTTTTACATTCATAGCATCAATCTTTTACCCCTCTAAAAGACTAGAAAATCTAACAAAAGCAGAATAAAATTCTACAAAAATTTGAGTTTTTAATGTTAAAAAAAACAAAACAATTTTATTTTTTTAACGTGGGTTGACGATAAAAATTAAAACCGTTTCAAAAACTCGAACATCCTTTTTCTCTACACATTACAATGAAAAACCTCAATGTTGGAGGTAAATTGGTGATTTTTTTAGTTTTATTTTATGAAGTGGAAAATAATATTTATCAAAACGATCAAAATCAAGAAAATGACCCAAATTACGATTATAATCCAGGAAATAATGTTGATCAAAACTATCACAATCAAGAAAATTNCTAAGGCCCACTTTTACCACCTCTTGATAAATTTATCCGATAGATAATTACCATGGTTACAGCGGTTTTAAGCGCTCTCATTGGCTAAGAGCGCCAATTTATCTATCGGTTAAATTTATCAAGAGGTGGTAAAAGTGGGCCTAAAAGACTAAAAAATCTAACAAAAGCAGAATAAGATTCTACACAAATTTGAGTTTTTAATGTTACAAAATTACTTTAAAATTAAGAAAAAAAAAACAAAACAATTTTATATTTTTGACGTGGGTTGACGATAAAAATTAAAACCGTTTCAAAAACTCGAACATCCTTTTTCTCAACACACTACAATGAAAAACCTCAATATAGGAGGTAAATTGGTGATTCTTTTAGTTTTATTTTATGAAGTGGAAAATAATATTTATCAAAACGATCAGAATCAAGAAAATGACCCAAATTACGATTATAATCCAGGAAATAATGTTGATCAAAACTATCACAATCAAGAAAATTCTAACGAAAGCAATTATAGCGAAGAAAATCCTAATCTAAGTGATTACAACGAAGAAAATCCTAATTTGAGTGATTACAAGAAAGAAAATTTATATGAAAGTGACAACAACGAAGAAAATTCTATTGAAAGCGATTATAACGAAGAAAATTTTAATGAAGAAAGCGATTACGGCAAAGAAAATCCAAATGCGAGTGATTACAACGAAGAAAATTCTAATGAAAGCGATTATGGCAAAGAAAATCCAAATGTGAGTGATTACAACGAAGAAAATTCTAATGAAAGCGATTATGGCAAAGAAAATCTTAATGTGAGTGATTCCAACGAAGAAAATTCTAATGAAATCGATTATGGCAAAGAAAATCCAAATGTGAGTGATCAACGAAGAAAATTCTAATGAAATCGATTATGGCAAAGAAAATCCTAATGTGAGTGATTACAACGATGAAAATTCTTATGAAAGTGACAATGACGAAGAAAATTTTAATGAAAACAATATCAACCAAGAAAATTCTTATGAAGGTGATTACGGCAAAGAAAATCCTAACGTGAGCGATTACAACGAAGAAAATTCTTATGAAAGTGACAACAACGAAGAAAATTTTAATGAAGAAAGCGATTACAGCAAAGAAAATCCAAATGTGAGTGATTACAACGAAGAAAATTCTAATGAAAGCGATTATGGCAAAGAAAATCCTAATGTAAGTGATTACAACGAAGAAAATTCTTATGAAAGTGACAACAATGAAGAAAATTTTAATGAAAGCGATTACGGCAAAGAAAATCCAAATGTGAGTGATTACAACGAAGAAAATTCTAATGAAATCGATTATGGCAAAGAAAATCCTAATATGAGTGATTACAACGATGAAAATTCTTATGAAAGTGACAACAACGAAGAAAATTTTAATGAAAACAATATCAACCAAGAAAATTCTTATGAAGGTGATTACGGCGATGAAAATAATTACAACAATGAAAACTCTGATGAATATGAATCTGAAGAAATTAATTATTATCCATTTATAGCAAGTATACGATTAGGAGCCCTTCATTATTGTTCGGGTTCAATAATTACCCCAATGTTTATTTTAACCTCAGCGTTTTGTTGTTATGCAAACGATGGGAAATTGTTGCCAAAGCATCAAATGTTGGTTTACGTTGGTAGTATGTCATTAAAAAATTCGCAAGTTTACCCAATTTATGAAATCCACATCCACCCATCTTACAACCTTTTGGATCAACAGGGAAACGTGGCTTTATTACAAATGGATATTCCGATTCCCCCATTAGAATCGTCAAAATCGATCATATTAAATCAAAATTATTACAACGTCGATTTGTTTAAAATTGAACCCGTCGCGATTGGTTGGAGTACGATAAATCCTAAAGGAAAATTTTCCACGCAGGAAATTTCTGATGATTTAGCCGCGATTTCTTTAGCTTCTGTTAGTTCGACGGTTTGTAGCGTGGTTTATAACAGGATTTATCCGGAGGAATTTTGTATGATCGATGAGAAATTTCGCGAAAACTTTTATGGTTGTGCCTTAGATTTTGGGGCGCCTTTATTTATGCAAAGTAATGGAAAATATATTCAAATCGGAATCGCTTCTTACATTAGCGATTGCAAAACGCAAATTCCGACTGTTTTTACAAGAATTTCAACTAATTATCCGTGGATTAAGTCAACGATTGATTTGGCAAGAAAAAATTTATAAAAAAATCCTTGTAATAAAAAAACAGAAAAATCTTTATCGTTTTTATTCCATCCTACGTCATAATTAAAATGAATGGTGATAACTTTTTATAATCGCACTCGAAATGTACTCAAAACGATTTTTTTATTTTATTTTTATTTTTTCGTGCATGGGTAAGTTTTTGATTTTGAAATGAATGTTTTTATTTCGAGTTTTTTTGATTTAGTTTTTCGATCGGATCAGAAAAAATTAACTCGAATGGTCGGCGGGCAATTAGTTAAAGAAAATGAATATCCTTTCGTGGCAAGTATCCAGCACGATAACAAACACATTTGCACCGGTTCTATAATTGGTTCAAAAGCAATTTTAACAGCGGCGAGCTGCTTTTATTTGAACGATACAACCAAAATTTCGACGTATTCGCTTATGGTTTCCGGAGGAAGCTCGTTTTGGAGGTACGGAGATAAATACGAAGTTGATAGATTAATTATTCATCCTCAATTTGATTATGAAACTAAAATTAACGATATAGCAATTATAAAAATTTCAAAAACAATTTCGCTGATTTCTTCGGTTATTATTAAACTTCTATCGACCCAAATTCCTGATAATCAAACAGTTGTGGATGGTTTAACTTTCGGTTGGGGACATTCCATATATTCCGGACATCCAATAGAATCGCCATCAGAACAATTAAATTCTTTAAAAACAAAAACTGTCCCAGCGAGAGTTTGTTTATTAGAATACCAAACTTTTGGGGAAAACCAAATTTGTTTGGCAAGTACAGAAGGTAAAGGGATATGCCACGGTGATGTTGGGGGGCCCTTAATTATCCAACCATCAGCAATTTTTTTACAAATCGGTATTAGTTCTTATGGTGGTGCTTGTAATTCAACCAAACCTGAAGTATATACGAGAATATCATCTTATCATGATTGGATCGATATCGTTCTTAAAAAAGGGTTAGATAACAGCGAAGAAATTAAACTACCAACACAAGATAAAAAGAAAAAAAGACGAAAAAATAACAAATACTAAATATAAGCACACCTAAAATATGTTATCAAAAATTAATTTAAAAATATCGTATAATTGTTGATATATTATGTTGTTATAAATGTTATCTTTTGCAATAAATGAACACGTGGGTGTTGAAGAGGGGCTATTATTTCATTAAAACAGTGTTTTGTAACAATGAAAATCTTCAATTTGTTGTTAATCTTTGTTCTTTGTACAATAATTCCTGGTAAGATTCATTCGTTTTTATATCAATAGTACGATTAGGGTTTTTAAAATTAAACCGAGGCATTAGAATTGAAACCATATTGAAGCCGAGGTCGCTTGCGGCCGAGGCACACCATAATGACAAAATATTATACGATGTACACCTTCTCTATAAAGTTAAGCCGAGGTCGCTTGCGGCCGAGGCACTAGAGTTTACACCATATTGACATAATTTGATACAATATACACCACCACTATAAAGTTAAGGCGAGGTCGCTTGCAACCGAGGCATTAAGGTAAACACCATAACGACAAAATATTATACAATGTACACCTTCTCTATAAAGTTAAGCCGAGGTCGCTTGCGGCCGAGGCATTAAAATTGAAACCATATTGATGCAATATTATACAACACACATGTGAGTTATTAGTATCCCAGAGGTCGATAGTTACTAAATTGTGTGAAAAACAAAAAAATATTTTATACAAAAGTTGTTTGACTCATAAAATTATTGTCACTTATACAGGATGTTCCATTTAAGGGTAACGGAGTGTACGCAAATTTATTTAAATGGAACACCCTGTATATTTTATCATATTATTAATATAATTAAATTTGTTTATATAACCATATATATTACTAGTAAACAGCGTTCATAGTTCCTGAGATATTCAATTGTTCTTCCAAAATGTGCCCATTACAGGATTTTTTAAAAACGATGTAAAAACGACATTTTTTCCGATTTGGCCTTGAAACTACCTCAGACAGTAGTCAAAGCCAGTAGATAGATCATAGTGTTCAAAAATATTAGATACACTATACAGGGTGTTTAAAAAGCTCAGTTACTTCCTGTATATTGCGTGATTGTTGAATTACTCATCAAGTTCCCTTTAATTAATGATAAGTATGTCATATGTCTAACTTTAATAGTTTTCCTGATATTTAGAATTTAAAGAAAAATGTGTAATAAAATGTCATTATTGTACTTAAAAAAATATATTCTGTTCTTTTTTTGTCGCTTTTTTTTTGTTTTTTCTTTTTTGTTTGTCTGTCATTTGTAAATCAGTAATATTACATTAAAATACAATTAAAAAAAAACTTTAATAAATAAATAATCAAAACGTGATAAAAATACAAAAAATACAATTAAATGGCAGAACAATAAATCGCTTTTTTAATTACTAAATTATTTGAAGGAAATGCAGCAACAAACTATAAACAATTACTAAACGTTGCTCAATAAGTAGATATTAATTTAATTAATATTTAGAAGTAGTTCAAAATGCCGCCCATTTTCTCTTCTACAAGCATTAATGCGCTGTATAAAAGATCTTGAGATCTTTTAACATGTGCAACTTATTTACTCTAAAGTCATAAATTATATGGCAGAATAATTGCAATGTAACATGCTTTTTAAATCTCATAAAGTACCAAGTTGCATTAAAATCTGCTATATGGCAGCAAAATTATTTTACATTATAAAATATTAATCAAATAATAAAAAGAAGAACAAAAAAAACAAATAAAAATAGACAGAATAATAATATTAAGTACAATAACGCATATTTTATTACAGGTAACTTGATGGGCAATTCAACCAGCACATAATATACAGGTGATTCCATTTCAAAAACTTATGAAAAAGCCATTTGAAAAACATCAAAAGTAACTAAGCTTTATGAACACGCTGTATAGCATATCTAATATCTTTGGATTATTTATCTACTGGTTTTGACTATTATCTGACATAGTTTCAAAGCAAAATTACAAAAAAATTTCGTTTTTACACAGTTTTTAAAAAGATCCTGCAGTGGACACATTTTGGAAAAACAATTGAATATCTCAGGAACTAAGAACGCTATGATTTAGTAATATATACGGTTGTATAATAGTATATTATTCAACAAGCGTATAATGGCGGCTATTACCCACGAAGATGAAGTTGCGACACGAGCGAGCGAAGCGAGCGAGTGTTGTAATCTGAGTGGGTAACATCCATTATACGCAAGTTGAATACTATACTTTATCTACAACTATTTAATTTTGAAAAAAAAATAAACTTGATAGACATTTCAGACATAACCTCAATATAAGAAAGCTGTCATTTCTGTTAATATTTTATTTTTTTGATTAGTAGGCCGTGTCAGAACTGTGGAATAATGGCTTCATTATTCAACACTTTGTCAGTCATGAGTAATAGGTGTCATTACCCATCAAAAATCAAATGTATAACGAATAGATAATTCAATAGTTGTAGATAATAGTATATTATTCAACAAGCGTATAATGGCGGCTGTTACCCACGAAGAAGAAGTTGCAACACGAGCGAACGAAGCGAGCGAGTGTTGTAATCTGAGTGGGTAACATCCATTATACGCAAGTTGAATACTATACTTTATCTACAACTATTTAATTTTGAAAAAAAAATAAACTTGACAGACATTTCAGACATAACCTCAATATAAGAAAGCTGTCATTTCTGTTAATATTTTATTTTTTGATTAGTAGGCCGTGTCAGAACTGTGGAATAATGGCTTCATTATTCAACACTTTGTCAGTCATGGGTAATGCGTGTCATTACTCGTCAAAAATCAATTGTATAACGAATAGATAATTCAATAGTTGTAGATAAACAAATTTAATGCTATTCATAATATGATAAAATATACAGAGTGTTCCATTTAAAAAAATCTACATACTTTCCGGTACACCTAAATGGAACATCCTGTATAAGTGAAAATAATTTTACGCAATAGAAAGTGGTGAATTAAACAACTTTTGTATAAAACATTTTTTTCTTTCTCAAACGGTTTAACAACTATCGTCCACCGGGATATTAATAACTCACCCTGTATAATATACATCTTCTCTATAAACTTAAGTCGAGGTTGCTTTCGGCCGAGGTATTAAAGTTAACACAATAATGTCACAATATACACCTTCTCTATAACGTTAATCCGAGATCGCTTGCGGCTGAGGCATTAGAGTTAATACCATTTTGGAACCTCGGCTATTATTTAATATTGTATCTCTTTGAAGTAAATTGTAACGCCTCGCCCGCAAGCGACCTCGGCTTATGTTTATAGGAAACGTGTGTGTTGTATAATATCGCATCGATAAGGTTCCAACTTTAATGCCTCGGCCGCAAGCGACCTCGGCTTAACTTCATAGCAAAAGCGTTTGTTGTATAATATTGTATCATTATAGTGTCAAATTTAATGATGCCTCGGCCGCAAGCGACCTCGGCTTAATTTTATTCGTAAGGTTTATGTTGTACTATATATTACATCAATATTGCGTCAACTCTAGTGTCTCGGCCACAAGCGACCTCGGTTTAATTTTGTTCGTACGGTTTATGTTGTACTATATTATATCAATATTGTGTCAATTCTAGTGCCTCGGCCGCAAGCGACCTCGGCTTAACTTTATTCGTAAGGTTTATGTTGTACTATATTATATCAATATTGTTTCAACTCTAATGCCTCGGCAGCTAACGACTGCGGTTGTTATTTAATATTGCATCTATTTGGTATAAATAGTAGCGCCTCGCTCGCAAGTGACCTTGGATTAACTTTATGGGAATGATATATGCTGTACAGGTGTCCCGTTAAGGGTACGGAGCGGCTGTATCTCAACAACGGTAAGGCCTAGAGGTTTGGGAAAAAAATCCTTATAGGCAAAGTGGGC